CAGGGGAGAGAGCAACCCCTACCTTTTAGCACACTCCTAAAAGGGTCCATGACCTACCCCCAAAGCCCCAAAGGTTAAGAAATTCTGTTCTGGAAGACTGAGACCTCAATAATTGCATTCATCCACTCTTACCTTCTTGCCAAGTTTAATGGATACATCTTATGTCATTACTCAAGCCTGCAGTATGACTGGATTTGCAGTGTGTTTTTCCATTTAGCAATAGATGCAGTTGCAGTGCCTTTGGCCTTTACAGGTGTTTGAGATCTATTTGTTGCACAACTACCTGGCTCTTCATCATTTGACTGCTTTTGTATATAATTTTCTACATCTTTCTTACAACTACCAATAAAAAGTGTAGACGTATTGTTTGTGTATGGAGATAGGAATGTATGGGAATACACATAAGTACAGGCAGTTCCTAGGAATGCCTGACTGACATACTACCCATAGTTACAAATCAGCCCAGTAATGGCTGTTGTTGTTAGGTGACATCGAGTCATTTCCAACTCATGATGACCCTGTGTTCAGCAGAATGAAACACTGCCCAGACCTTAAGTGTGCTTAAGCTTAGTGATGATTGTGAGGATGGTGGTAAAGCCTATTATGTTAAAATTCAGGGTACCTACAGTGGTTCATAATAATAAATGGGTGCTACTTTGAAAAATGCATTAAAACATTATTACTGTACTACTATGTTAAAAAATTTTAGTGTATCTGAAAGTGTTTCTTAATTTTTTTTATGCATGAAAATGTGCTATACAGGTTTCTCTCGCTATTTGAAAATACAGTGTTCTTATGATGCCTTTTGTAAGCTGAAATGGCATAATGTGAAGAAGCAATTATCATTCATTTGTACTGGTACTTTTTTTTAGTGTTCCCAGACCCCAAAAATAACTTACCAAATCATACCAGATAATAAATAAAAGGTGAAAAACTTAACATATAGTAAAATAAGCAGTCATGATACTCACGTTGTATAAAGTAGAAATAATGTGTATATAATGTAGTTCCTTGGGGAGAAGCTTAGAAATGCCTTAATGTCTGTGCTGCCTCTAACTGCTTGCTGCAAAACAAATGCTGAATGTTAATTTCACATTTTGTCTTTAAAACAAGAAAGAATGAAAGAGAAAATCTTAGGATTTCTTCAGTAATTGCAAATGGGTACTAATGTAGGTCTTTCATAAAAGCAAAGTGGTGTAAAGCAAACTTGAAAAGACAAGCATTTGACTGATTATCCATAATATGAACTATGCCTAACTGTTCCACTGTCCATACAAATTTGACTTACAGATGGATTTAGAAGCAGAACTCGTGTAATTTGGAATCCTGTCCAGTGTCATTTCAAGAATAGAGATACCTTACGGTGGGATAGACTGAGATTTACAATGACTGTTCCTTTGGCCTCCCCTTAACTTCTCAATTGCTTGTTTATGGTGTCTTTAGCAGGTGATTGGAGTCCTGGTGTGGTGCTGTGCACAAATGCGCTGGACTGCAAGGTTGATTTGAACTGCAAGGTTGGTTTGAACCGTATTGTTGGTGGTTCAAGCTTACCAGCTGCTTCTCAGAAACCCTGTACAGGGTCACTATGAGCCGGAACCTACTCAAATGACAACAACAACAATGAGCATCTGCTTTGACACATGCTATAAAGAAAACAAAAACATTTCCTAGTTCTATTAGCTCCTTTGATCTCGTCCTGTTTCTCCTTATTAATTATTTCTGTGGTATACAAAGTGATCACACTGTACCAGTTAGTTCATTTTTCATTCTGTTCTAAATTGGTTTTGGAGTCCTAATTTTTGCTTTCAGTGTGTTACTTTGCTCAAATGTCTTCAATGACTCCTCCTTACAGTCTAGATACAGTTTTTGGGATGCCATTTAAAGCTTTCTCTTTTCTGGCACCAGCTTGCTTTTCTGGTCCCTTTTTTACTAATCTCCCAATAAACTATTTGAAAAGTAATGGTCAGTTTACTGTCCTTAAACATCTCTTAGGTTTCTCTGTGTTCACCCCTTTCCATTCGTTCCTTTACTTCAAATAGTCTCCCTTATCCTAGTCTGTACCTCTAGAAATTTGTCCTGTCAATTGAGGCTCAGCTCAGATTCCATCTTGGTTGTTAACTATTCAGGGTATAAGTATAATTTTTCCCCCCCAGTTTTTATTGTGAATTGAGTGAAAGTTTACAGGGTAGATCATCAGTTTTACATTCAACAAATCATAC